ACTGACAGCTGGTTATGTCAACACCTAGACAGCATTAAAGAACCTGAACTAGTATTTGTTGTCACCAGTTTGAGTACCTGCTGGACAAAAAGATGGATGAAAGCATAGGCTATCCATGACCAGAAAAACAATCTCACTCTACATCTCCTTCATATGAGTTAAGTGCACTCAGAAAAACCTTTATGAAAACCTAAGGACTGTCCCTTGCTCAGGTAAAGATACCGGAAGGAAACAGATATAGCTCATAGATGTCATCAGCCATACCTAGGTGACATACCAAAGCCAATACTGCAATCAAACCCTGTGCCTTGATCCTCAAACCCCTTGGAGGTCCTAAGTGTTTCAAGCATAGCCTTTTAAGGCACAAACATTTGCCAAATCTTCAAATGTCTCAGCTGGTTCACAGGCCATCCTTCAAAAACTCAACGACAAAAGCAGCATGGATGGACCATGCTTAGTGCAGTAAGTAAAAAAAAGACAAATACTCTATGAATCTGCTTACGTGAGGCATCCAGAATAGGCAAACTGACAGAGGCAGAAAGCAGAATAAAGGTTACCTTGGGCTGGGGTTAGGGAAATGGGAAGTTACTGCTTAATGAGTAAAGTTATTGTTAGAATCATTGAAAACATTTTGGAGACAGTGATGGTGGTCACCATAACATTGTAAATATATTTATGCCACTGATCTGTACACTTATAAGTGGTTAAAATGGTATTATGTGTTACCACAATTTAAAAAGAAATTCATGGAATGGATGATGGCTAAGCCTATGAGAGCAAGTGAAATTTATTGTTAACAACACTGATTCAAGTATTGTTAAGTATTTTATGCAAAATACCGGGACACATGTGGCTCAGTGGTTTAGTGCCTGCCTTAGGCCCAGGGCGTAATCCTGGAGTCCTGGGATCAAGTCCTACGTGGGGCTCCCTGCATGGAGCCTGCTTCTCCCTCTGCCTGTCTCTTATGAATAAAATCTTAAAAAAAATTTTTTTTATGCAAAATAACCTACTGGCGAATAAGGTTTTAAACATTTTACAGTTTTGCAAGCTTTGAAATGTGTCCAAAGCAGCCTTCTTCTGCCCCAGGTAGATTTCTACCACCACCAGTTGTAACATTAACTCAGCTAATTCCCACTTCAGGTTATATTGAATTATTTATTTCTCATCCTTAAAAATATTCTCACCTGTAGTCCTTCCAAGCAGACCATTCAGAGGCTAATTCCTCGGTCTCTTCAAACAGCATTGACTCCTGCATAAACACCTGAGTGGTATTTGGTAACCTTTATCTGACTCATCAAGAGCCAAGGAAAACCACTAAAAATCATTTGCCTTGTTTTTAAATTTTTTATTGCTCCTAATGTTCTCACCTCCTCAAGGGACCGTTTGCACTCAAAGGCTAATAGTCTTAAAAAGTAAGTTTATATCCTCTGGACATACTTCTTCCAGAGAAATTAACTCACCATTGACAAAAAGCTTTCCTTGCTTGGCTTGAGAATGAGCTATTCATACTTGAAAGTAAAACAAAGTCTAGTTTTCTCTTTTTGATGTTGAATGTGGACTATTAATTTTTAGAAAATATCTCATGGTGATAGCTATGATCCTCAAAACACTATGAATGATAGATGTGTAACTGCAGTCTGTAGTGCCAAGTGATGAATGCCCTGGATTGTCTGCATTGTGACAATTTAAATTCAGCCATTATAACAGGGAAACAGGCATATACAAAGTATGTAAAGCAATGTGGCTGCATTCCAATAAAACCTATGGACATCTGAATTTCATAGTTTTTCATTGCTCACATTACCGTCCTCCTATGGTGGTTGTTTTAAACCACTTGGAAATGTAAAAAATCACTCCTAAGCATTCCTGACTCATAAACAGGCCACCAGCCGTGGTCTGCTGACCCCTGCAGTTGAAAAGGAGAAAATGAGCTTTGTTCACGTCCTCCACAATTCAATCAGGTTGTCTTCCTTCCTCCAATAGCTTATGAGAAAAAGAGGTAACCTCAGATAAAGTAAAAGAAGGGTAAAACTTCAAGTGCTGTTTTTTTGAAACGATCGATAAAATAGTCAAACATCTGACAAGTTTAATTTAGCAAAGAAAAAACATTTAAAATGATAGATGGGGGCTTTTTCTAATTTTGAGAAAAAACTGGACTATACTAATAAAATCAAAAATCTTTTTTTTAAAATTTTATTTATTCGTGAGACACACAGAGAGAGGCAGAGACACAGGCAGAGAGAGAAGCAGGCTCCATGCAGGGAGCCCAATGTGGGACTCGATCCTGGGCTGAAGGCAGGCACTAAACCACTGTGCCACCCAGGGATTCCTAAAGTTGAAAATCTTGATGGCAGACTTGATACAGAAAAGAACAAATTCTCAGAGGCAAAGGGAAAAATTGTGGTTCACTGAAAACAGGAGAAACAGCCCTGCAAGTTCTGCTCGGGGTTCCAGCAACACTGCCCCCCTTTCCAAAGGCCCTGCCGCCTACAGCTCTGTAAGTTGCAGATACCTGATAACAAGCCAGTAATTCTTATCAATAGATGTGCAAATACATCCATTCTGTTGGGTAGAGAGTTAGTTTATTTACTACCGGACTGTGGGAAAAGCCAGTTTCGTGTCCATTTATAAACTGATTTCAACATTCCCTAACTCCACATTCATCCTTCTTTGACTTCTCCATTGAACAGGTAGTGACATGTTCTGTTCCGAGGGGGGGAAAAAAAAGGCTTACCTTGTGTTCATTTGGTATCTACCTGTAGGAGGGTCATTTTTTTTGTGTATTATGTTGAAAATTATCCTTTAACACAAATAACCAAGAACGATATAGAAAAGTAGGAAAAAATTACCTCCAAACAAACGCTCCTGGAGCAGTCTCCCTGACACTGAAGGTGGAAGGCGGTCCATTGTGTTGGTGGCGAGGGCACCGTAGGCCCCAGAACCCAGGCCAGGAGAGCCAACCAGGTTCCCGCCGCCCACAGAGCGCGAGGGAAGCACCGGCGCCAGCCACGCCCCTCAGGAATCGCCCGCCAATCGCAGCCCCAGGGGCGGGACGTGGCCACCTGCTTCCCACAGGCGCCTCCCCAAGTTGAAAGGAGCACCTACCCTCCTCTGAGGTACCAAGGCCTAGAGAAGGTCCTCAGCGCTTGCTGTAACACAAAGCAGCTTCTGGGAGCCCCCCAGCTTCCGCATGAGCCCCGCCCCAGGCCGTGGGGTGCAGGAGCCGGGCGAGTCCGGAGCGGCGACATTTTCTTCTGGTGGGGGAAGCATGAGAACATCACACGGAGCTGCCCCGCTACAGCCTTCACGTTTCCTCCTTAACCCAGCTCGAACCTCCACCCCCACACAGAACCCAGCCCTGCCCTTGACCAAAAACCCAGGTCAGGGGGGCGGCTCCACGAACCGTCCTGTTTAGAAGGCAAGAATACTTGCTGGGAATGCCCAACCCCACACTAAAGGATGGAAACCAAGGTTTTCTGCGAATAAATGAGAAAGCTTCCTTACAGAGTTAAAATACCACTAATCTCACAAGTTTATAATTACATAGTCGAAAAGTTCACAATGGAGAAACTTGGCAGGTGTGCCTTAATCCAAGAGCTTCAAAGTAAATATCACAGATGTGACAAGCTGACATCCTGCACTTCTCAGTATGATGGACCAAGACCACAGTATCACGGGACTCAGGTCATGATCAAGTCCCACATTGGGCTCCCCGCAGGAAGAAGGCTGCTTCTCCCCCTGCCTCTCTCATGAATAAAATCTTTAAAAAACAAAACACAGCAACACTTCTGGACTCTTCCTACAGAAAAAGCTAAGTTTAATTTCACTACGAGGAAACACGAAACCAGACAAACTAAAGGACCTTCTACAAAAATCAGGCAATACTGTTCAGAAATGTCATGAAAGACACAGGAGGCTAAAGGGACATGAACACTAGGTGCTGTCAGCAACTCTGGTTTGGATCCTGGGCCAGGGGAAAAAATGAAGTGTAAGAGACATTATTGGGAAATTGGCCAAAATTGATTACGATTGTATCAACATTAAATTTCCTCATTTTGAACATCCTACCGTGGTTTTATAAGACTGTTCTTGTTCCTAGGAAAAAGACACATGTATTTGGGGCAAAAGGGCACACCTCTGGGTTACCTCAGTAGATCAGGAAAAATCACATATGCATAGATACACACATACACAAGTTCAGAGTATATAGGGCAAAAAGAACAATAGGCAGATCTGAGTATCTTGTACTGAAGTTCCTTGAACTATATTTGTAACCTTTCTCTAAGGCTGAAATTCTCTCAAAACCGTTACACATTTTTACATTGTTTGCTGTTATCAGCCTCACAGAGGCAGATGGGCAAAGGGCTGCCACCTCCTTGCAGAGATCTTGACACCCACGCTTGCGAACATAGCCAGCTCCACCCTGGACAGAAAAGCAGACAAATGGGTAGTTCACCAACAGCTCCCTTTCCTCACGACTCAAGAACAGGCACCAGCCCTGCCCTCTGACCCACAGCCTCAGCAGACCCCCAAGCTCAGAGCCATCTATCCAGGATCCTGTGGGCAAGCATCCTGCTCATTACACTGGCCCTCCTCACACTTGAATCTCAGGGGCACCAGTCATCCTACCTCCCACCCACAAAGCCCAACCCTCAAACACGTGAGGAGTGTTACCCTTTCAAGACAGGTTCATTAGCCCAGATTGTGTGTACCTGGGAAATGGTGAGGATCAAGCTCAGGTTACACCAGGTGAGGAGGAAACCATCTCCTGGCTTCACCTGAAGCTACAGTTGGTACTAGGGCCTGCCAGGACTAAGCAGGATGGGGCTGCAAGCAGCATAGCCCACGTGGCTCACCTCTCCAATACACATGTCAGTCTTTGCACCGCCCAGAAGCCACTTACAGAAGCTCACACTGCAGAGCGCTCCTCAGGATTTCTCCCTTGAGAAAGAACTCCTGCCCTTAGCACTACTGGCACCCAACCCACACAGGACACAAGGTTGTTGTCCAAGGTTTATTGAAGATATTACAGCACAGCAGAAAGATTCAAACAGCTCCCCGTGGTGTTTTAAAATTCATCCCAACTGTAGGCTGAGTGACCTGCAGGTTGGATAGGCTTCCAAAGTCCTGGAAAAACAAAGTTAAGATTCAGTGTGGTTCTGTATCGGTGAGAGCTGTGATCAGTCCCAGGAGCACCGCCTGGGACAGGGCAGGCCTGTCCACTAGCCTGGGGCCAGGCTGGGACCCTACGGAACTCCAACAAGGGCCTTCTCCCTGCCCCCAGAGCTCACAAGGGGGTCTACCTGAGAGCCAAAGGCACATGCACCCCAACAACCACACCTAAGGGTGCTGTCCTGTACCCTGTAGGGTTTTCAAAGCATCCCCGGCCTCTGCCCGCTAATGGCTGTCAGCATTCCTCAGCTCCAACAACCAAATGTGTCCAGACATTCCCCAATGTCCCGAAGGTCAGAATCTGTTCCTTTGAGAATCACCACTCTCGGCCACATAAGTGCCATTTCCTTTCCAGGGCCAGACCCATGTAGGAAGAGTCACTAATGCAACTGCCAAGGGCCTGAGACAAGCAGGAATCCAATGTCCCCCTCTATTTTATCCCCCAAAGCCAATTTATAGATGAAACTGAAAAAGTTGCATTCAGGAGAGTGGTTACTTCTGAAGCAAATGATCCACCACAGACTTTAACTATATTAATAATGTTTTTCTGAAACTGGCTGCTGAGAGCACTGAAGTTCATTCTGCTCATTACCTCTGAATGTAACATTTAGTGATCATAAATAAGAAAAAATAAAGCTGCTTTAAATCGTGTACTGGACTTTGAAGCCATGGTACCTTCACTGAACTATGTAAAACTAGAGAAGCCTCCAGAAGAAAGCTCAACTATACGGTAAGCATGTGGAAAGGAGAGTACAGTTCTGAGTGGTCAGCATACAGACACGGAGTGAAGGCACGAAGGATGAAAAGACAACCAGAGCTGGAACCATGGAGGCCAATGGAGGAGCAGCCACAGGAGCAGGGAGCAAACAGGAGAGAAGGGAGGAGGAGCGTCCTGCAAGTCATGGGGGAATGGCTACTGGCTCTGGGAGCCCTCTTCCTGTGCAGCGGCATCTCTACCTTCCACAACCAGCCAACTCCATTCTGGAGGCAGTCTGTCCAGTGGTTAGCAGTGCAGATGGAATTCCTACCCCTGCCACCCAATCATCTTCCAGTTACCATTTCCTCGGGCAGCAAAGGTAGGTACTAGGGTGTGCCTCCGGGGGCACCACGAGGACAAAGGACATGGTGGAACACCCCAGAGCGAGTTAGGATGGTCCCTGACCAGGGATGCTGCTGGAGGAACACCAACACTTACCAAGAGTTTCAACATCTCCTTAGTGTCAGGATCTACCTCGATGATCTCCTGATCCAGGGCTGAAACCTACAAGAACAGGGCAGACCCCAAAGACCAATCAGTGGCTTCTCTCTCTCTCTCCCTACCGCCTCTCCCAGATTCTTCAATGGAAGAAAACGGTAGGCTGGGACACCGCCCCCCCCCCCCCAAGGTGAGCAGTCTGCCTACGGGATAATTCTTCTACTTTTCCCTTTATAATTCCCTCCTTCCCACCCAGCCACTTTCCAGAAAACCTCAGCAGGAGGCTAAGCCCTCAGAAACCCTATGCTCGGGTACCAAGAGGTACCAAGAGCCGCACAGCATCCAGGACTCGGCCCTGTAAGACCAGAAGGGACTTCACGGTCCCGGAAGGGAGAACGAGGCCATGGTACAGGCAGAAGACGGCGGGGTGCTGTGGGTACAAGACCCCCGCTGTCAAACTCGGCCGAGGGCCCTTCCAGGGTTCTCAGGAGCCTGATCCATCCTCGAGGAGCAGCCGGCCCGGAAAGTTTACCTCGGGCACGTAATTATCCCTTCTTTCTCTCTCCTCCTCTTGCAACTTGATGGAGATGCCTCTCACCGGGCCCCGCTGAATCCGCTTCATCAGATGTGTGACATAGCTGCCAAGGAAACGCGCCCAAGAGCAGGCGTTGGCGCCGGTGCCGCTGGGCCAGGGCTCCAACCCCGCACACGGCGCGCCCCCGGCCTTCCTGCGCCGACAGGACAGGGCGGCGCGGCTGTGCCGGGCCGCAGGCAACAGATACGCCGCCCCCGCCCGCCCTCACCCCCCGGGCAGGACAAGGCGTTCATGCACCAAGCCAGGCACACCGGGCCCCCGACCCCGCAGGGAAGCCCGCAGGGAAGCCCGCAGCTCGCCCTCCCCGCCCTCGGCCAGCTCACCCTGCGATCTTGTTGCGGAGCTTCTTGCTGGGGATGATGGCAATTTCCTCGCACACTCGCTTATTGGTGTGGAAGTCGTTCCCCAGGCGCGTGTAGTACTTCTCGATGATGACTCGGGCCGCCTTCTTCACGGTTTTGGTGCGCACGCGGCCCTGCGGGTGGGAGAACACGGCGTCACCCGCGAGCCACGACAGCCCTCCGACGGCAGCGGGGCAGGGCCGAGCGCGGGCCGGGGCCGGGGCCGGGGCCGGGGCCGGGTCGGAGGGCGGGCCGGGTAAGCCGGAGCGCGGGGCTCAGCACCGAGGCCAGTGGCCCGCGGAGGCTTGGGCCTGACGGGGCCCTGCGCCCGTCCTCGAGAGCTGGGGGCCGCCGAAAGCAGCGGATGGACGACGATTGCAGGGGACCAGGGCCTCGGGCCAAGATACCTACCATGTTGGCGGGTATAGTAAAAGAGGAAACAGGAAGCACAAGCGAGACCTATAAAGCGCGGGCCAGAAAGGCGCTTCCGCCGAACCCGGGACACGCAGAGCCGGCTCCGGAGCTCCACAGCGACCCCCGGCGGGGAGGGGCGGAAGTGCAGGAGGCTGCCACCACCCGGTGGGTGGGGTGAGGAACTGGCCCGCCCTCCCGTGGGCGTGGCTCTCCCTCCTCCCGCCCCTCTTAGGGTTCTTCGGCCCGCGGTTGCTTCGGCTCCCTTGATTCTCAAGACAGGATCGTTTGATGTGCCCTGGACTAGAAGGGGTGCATGTCTTCTGCACACGCCCGCGAGACGGAGGGCGATTCGGGAGCGTGGGAAGGTGAGGAGGTAGGGGAGGTGCCCCGCCCAAGACCCTCGGCCTCAGAAGCTTGCCTTTTCTAGCCTGGGGGAAGAGGGGGCCACTGAGAGAGGCTGATCTCGTTTCTGCCAAGTCTGCTCAAGTATCACCTCATCAGAGGTGCTCTTTCTTCCCCCTCTGATCCTTTTGAAGCTGCTGCATCTTAGGCATTTATCATGGTGAACTTGTATTTTAAGATTTTATTTATTCATGAGACACAGAGAGAAGTAGACATAGAGCCGTAGGGTAAGCAGGCTCCCTACAGGGAACCTGATGTGGGACTCCATCCATCCTGCACCCTGGGCTCACAACCGAGCCAAAGGCAGACGCTTACCCACTGAGCCACCCAGGTGCCCCTCATGATGACCTGTTTCTTCACCTAGGGGTGAGCTCCCCCACAGTGAGGGCCGTTTTTTGCTTTGCTATTCCCAGTTCCCACCCCCACCCTCAGCAAGTTCTCAAAGGTAGAAGCTGAGGCCTGATCACCTGCAGCACTCTCAACCACTGAGGCACCTCCACCAACCACCAGGGTCCTCAGGCTCTTCCTGCTATACCCACGCCCCAACCAGGCCTTTCTGGAGCCCACTGGAGCAGACCACCCCCTCCTCCTCCAGCTCTGCTGAACCAAGTCCCAAGCCCCCACCGGACTCAAGGAAAGCCTGGGCTGGCCAGGTTGCAGTTAGTAAGGGGCATGGGGCTGGGCCTCACCCCTCAGCTCCCTTCTGGTCACCTTGGCCAGTGCAGTCAGACCTTAAACTGGCTGGGGACGGAAGGCCAGAGGACAGGAAGTTCTCTACCTGAAAGTGAGTGGCACCTGGACAAGATGGGGTGGAGCGAAGGAGAGAGGCCTCTGTAAGAACGCCTCCCCTGAGGGAGCCTCCTTCACCAGCATGCTTCCCCTCAAGCTGCTGCCAGTCAGGCTGAGTGAAGGAGGCAGCCTCTTCTCCTGCTGAAGGACGCCCCACCCCCTGCAACAGTGAGTTCTTGCACCTCTCACAAGGAGGGATGCTTTGGTGTGCCAGGTTCCCTCTACCTCAGACTAAAATGGAATCCAAAGGACCAGTCCAGCAGCTGGGCCCAGGCACAACCTATCTGGAAAATCAGCAGACCCCCTCACAAATCCTGGGAGCCTGTAATCAGGAGTCCAAATGAACAGGGATCTCCAAAGAACAGTAGAAAGTAAGTTTCTCCCTCTCAGAAGGAACTGGGTCAGCACAGGGTCAGCCTCCCCAGAAATTAGCCTGAGGCCTCAAGGAGCAGCTGAGAACCAGTGGCCTGTGCCTCTGGTTTCTCGAAGCTGCGTCTGGGACTTTGAGAAGAGGGCTCTTTATGCTTGGACTAAAGCTACCCACAACTCCAAGGTGCATCTGAGCACCGAAGTGAGCAAGTAGTACAGGGGCAGATCTCCCCACAGCCCCACCACCAACCTGGGCTGGAATCCCATCACAGAGAATCAAAGGAAACACAAATTTTTGCTCTTAGCCACCCTAACTTGCCCCTTGGCTCCCACACCTCAGACACAGAGACAGAATGAGAACTCTGCTGCAACGTGTTTATTATGTGCCAAAAAAACTACACCACAGCGTACTCCACACATCTGTAGGAGAGTGCAGTCTTGCCTGCATATACTACAATGAGGTAGAGACTTCACACACAGCTTCACAAAACCCACAGAGTAGCTGGGATATGCAACAATGCAACGTCAGCTCAGCAGGAGGGGGGGGGGGGTTATGACACTGGTTCTTTGGCACACAGCTTCCCAAAGAGGGGCAAGTAGGTTTTTGTTTTTTTTTTAAAAAAAGAAGAAAGAAAAAGTCAAGTTTTCAAATTCCAGTAGCATTTCAGTGACTGCAACTGTTGCTTCATACACTTCTCAAATCAAAGAAAGAAGGGAAGGGTACTTGTCCCCTCTCAGAGAAAGGGCTCCTGTGAGCCTTCACCTGCCCCCACCAAAAAGCAGCCCTTTTTTTTTTTTTAGCTCAGTTACAAAAGAAAAAAGTCCTGTGACTTTGTGATTAAAAACTTCTATCAACCCTCCCCCCCCACATAAGTGCAACTTAAGAAGGTGCAATAAACCATTTAGAACTATATACAGCAGCCGCTCAAATACCGTTTATCCGGTCGAGTTTCGAATCCAAAAAAAATTTATTATTCTTGGTTGCAAATGCCTTGATTTGCAACTGTGAGAAACAGTGACCAGCAGTCCCCCAGACACAAATTTGCTATAATGTTAAAAGCTGCCAGGAAAGAAAAAAAAAAAATCTCTTGTTCCAAACGACTTAAAAACTGTTTTAAGGAGTGTAAAAAGGAACCGGTAAAAACCCTCGAGCGTAAAATATGAAATATGATTTTGGTTTAAATGAAGAGCAAAGTCTCCTTGTTGTTTACAGTAAAAAACACCAGCTGAACACTCAGTTTATGCCGTTCAGGTGGGGGTTAAATCAATGGAAAGGCACTGTATGGCAACTGCAAGAATGAAACCGAGACCTGCGCATCATCACCATCAGTATTGCAAGGAATGTAAAAAAGCGCTTTTAATAAATAAACCTAGGTGTAGGCATCGTGTCAATACCTTCTGGACACGTAGTTCTTTTTTTGCTTTTCATCGGCAAAATGAAGAACTAAAATCTGGGACAACTACAGAGTCGCGTGGAGGGTGAACCAGAGGGTCCTTGCCCGGCACACCCCCTGAAAACAAAACCCGACAAAACTCATTGTGCATTAATTAGTGCAGAAACAAAGACAGATTCAGCAAGTGCAAAGGTGACTACGATTTTCCCTTGTCCTTGGGAAGCCAGCTCCCTGGTCGCCAGGGGCAGGATGCTGCAGGCTGCTGCCTGACCTGCCAGCCTTGGGCGCCACAGCTCCTCTAACTGGCATCGCGGCTCTTCTGGTTCCGCATCAGGGGTCTGTGGTGGCGCAGGCCCTCCATGCTGTGCCGCCAGTGCCAGCAACTCCGGCAGAAGTATTTGAAGCACACCTGGTTGAGGAAGAAGGAGGAGAGAAGCCATGTCTGAGTCAGCACCAGCCGTGGGGGTGGGGGTGGGGGTGAGGGGATGCACCCTGCTGCCTGACAGGGAGCAGGGATTCCTGAGAGCCTCCTGCAGTTAGAAGTCTTGGCGAACCTCACCCCAAACACAGAGGCCTGACCAACCATGGCAAACCCACTAAATGCTCAACTCAACCAAACATACTGGGTTCCTACTGTGTACAGACTGTACTAGCTCCCCTCACGCTCTCCTACCACCAGGGCTGCCTTCAGGTGCCCTGATCTCACCTCCTACAGAGCAGCTGTATCATATGCTGCTAATTTGGAAGAACATTCAAAGATAGCAGCTCCAAGTCCTAATGCTAGGCAACATGTCGTCTTCTTCACACTAAATAAGGAGAGGCAACAGGGTACACACCACAGCCCTGGTCCCACCTCTGGCTAGCTGTGTAACTTCAGCCAACCCACCAACCTTGGAACCATGACTTGAACATGGGGGTCATCTGTGAATGATAGGGATACACACAAGTCTGCTAGAAGAGGCTCATTAGAGAGATACTTGTTCCGGGTGTTAACCCAGCAACCCAAATGTACCTAACACTCTCGCTTTGGAGCCTCTGACCCTGAGCAATAAGCACCAGTGCAAAAAAAGCCAAGCATGGTTGACTGCTAGTGTCTGAATAGGCCTCAAACTTCCCAACTCTTTGCAAAGTATGGTACCAGGCCAACCACACTGACATCACTTGGAAACTTGTCAGAAATAAGGAATCTCAGGTTCCATTCTAAACCCAGAGTCAGAATCTGCATTTAAACAAGATCCTCAAATGTGTGTTCATTAACATGAGAAACTCTGCCCAAACACACCCGGATCCCTGCCCCCACCACCCGGGAACACTCAACAGGAAGCTGCCAAACTGCTTGCTGCCCATTTCTGACAACTGTGGATACAAACTGGGTACGTATCTCAAGCATCCAGAGGTTCACAAGAGAAGAAGGATCCTTGAGTGGGGAAAGATCAATGGAGAAAGGTCTGAGTTAGGACCACAGTGCTTGGCTCATAGGTACTGCTAACCATACCTATCCAGGGTCCTTTCATCTGCAGAGACCTGTTAAGTAGTTGTGCCACACTGCACACCAACATCCCAATGGGAAGATCAAAGTGTCAAGACTCAACAAGCTTTCCCAAGAGTTTTGCATCAAGCTGCCAGAGTGTTTCCCTGGCCTGACCATGAGGGAACATTACTGCTGCCTCCTTTGTGCTTTCTCAGACAACCACGAGGTACTGGAGAGCACCAACCTTCTAGTGACAAATATGGCACAATTTTTAATTGTCATCTCAAGTACTAGACATCTCAAGTACCCAAGGGACTCACCTGATCTCGACAGAAGAAAGGACCAGGTTGGGAACTGCAGATGTGACACAGAGAATCTTCTAGGTAGGGGTCAATCTGAACCTGCACAAAGCAAAAACAGGTGAATGAGTGGCTCTTCTCTCCAGGAGGCCAAATGGGCCAGACGAGAAAGGACATTACTGGGATATACACAGGAATGCAGGAGGTTTCCTTTTAAAGGAGAGAATTATGGGCAGAGCACAAACACAGCCCCTAGAGGTCAGATGCACACACCACACAAAGCCAGGCTGGCAGGCTCCACAATATGGGCAACAACGTACATTACTGCATGGATTTCTTGGTGAAATCATACGCCAGCA